TAACTGATAAGTGATAGAAAAAGAAACAAATAAATAAATAAAAATAAATTTGCTTTCAAAAACATAATCATCGGGGTTTTCTTTATGAGACCCAGTTATTTAAATCAACCTACAAGAAGAAGAAAGAGAATAAAAAAAATAAAAATAATAGAGAAATTATTTTGCTTTTTTGTTCATAGAATGTTTATAGTCGTCGGTTATATCAAAATTATTATAAATAATTTCTTCTAATTAACACCTAAATCAAATGTACACGCCACGTGGACATGACGTTTCTAACCTCTTTAAAGCGTTACTTTCGTTATCCAGACCACGATAGAAACTCAGCATGGTCCCTACGATATCTGAAAATTTGCATGGCCAAAGTTCATGCAAGAGTGCACATATATCTTATATATATATATATATACACACACACATATATATGTGTATAGAGTGACAAAGGAACATGGCGTATCTCTAGCTGGCTCTCTTACTAAGTATATGGCGTAGACTGTCATGCAAAATATACGTTATCTACAATGATCTATTTGATTAAAGGCTTCATTTGCGCATATATATATATATATTTGATTATGGGGCTACATTGAATTTAGAATTGGGACATATAAGCTTCACCCACTAATAATACGTATATTTTGCGTTTGGAAGCAACAGACAGACCTTCTAAACCATTTAAATTGACAACTAGCAGTATTCACAGTTTGATGGGCCTGACCCGTATTTGAGACAGCCTGAACCCACCCGTTTTACCTGCAAATGATCACGTGTACAAGGAATTTCTCTTTTTTGGTGTCCCTAGCTAAATCCAATTTGACTACTATGCCCTCATTGCCATCATATTAGTTAGCAGTTGTGTTGGTATCCATCAAATGTCTATTTTCTGACCTATTATTATTAATAGCTATTAATTCTAGTAGTAGGATGATGACTTTGATAGACCACGTTAAAGTAGAGGAAAAAAACTTAAATGAAGTATAAATGAGGGGCAAAATATTATCATTTTACTTTTTAGCAAGTAAAATTGACTTTTATAGTCCAAATAAAATGAATATGGACATCCAAACTCAATTATTTGAATTAAAATTTTCTTCACTGCACTGTCAAAGTGTCAAATGTGGATGGCGGAAATCATTTTGCGGGGACCGCCATAAGGATATCTCGATTCCATTGTTTTCTTGTGCATTGGACGTCACATCGTACCAGATTTACAGTTTGTTGAGAAACAAATTTTACGTGATTTAGATTTTGAATATGCAAAATAATTGTTTTCTTTTGTATGTTTGGACTAAACTCAAATTTAGACATAATAAAGTAAGGGTCAAATCAGGTAAACTGCAAGTAGATTTCAAACAAACAAAAGTAGAGGAAGAGAGGAGGGGGGGGGGGGACTAAATAAAGTATAAGAGCTATGAGAGCCATATATATATATATATATATATATATATAAGAGCTATGAGAGCCGGAGCTATGAGAGCCGGAGAGCCATATATATATATATATATATATATATATATATATATATATGGCTCTCATAGCTCTTATACTTTATTTAGTCCCCCCTATATATATATATATATATATAACACATTAATAAAATTAAGAGTCAAAACTCCACTTGATTGTAAGTAAGAAATAATCCAATAGAGATAAATTTCTTATCAAAAAAACAAAAAACATATATATCAAAAGTTAATGAGTTTATGTTATTTACCATGTACACCTTACTTTTGCCACCCAAAAAAAAATATCAATAAATAAATAAATATTTTACCATATATATATGTATGTATGTATGTATATATATATATGCATGTATGTACATGTGTGGGTGTAAGTATGCTATTGTCCATAACAATCTAATCCAACTACTAAGAGACGAGCTCCCATTTGTTCTATTAGTCGGACGGATACATTATATATAAACTTATCTTTTATTGATATATCTATATATAAATCAATAAAAAGAATAAAATGTCGAACTCAGGATCATTGTAAAATGACTATTACCCGTCCGATTTGTTCCCACAAAGAGGCATTGAAGGAAGCGGCGGTGGTGATGACTTGAGGGAAGCTGGTGGCCCCAGGGAAGGCCCCGCCAAACCTGGTGCCTGGTCCCACATTGGACACCCCGTGAAGAGCCTCCGACCACCATTCGTACCCTTTCATCCCCAGCCTAGGCACCGCCGCGGCATTGTTCACCAGCAGCCTCACCTTCTCCTGCAATGTCAGCCGTCCGATCAAGTCCCTCACCCGATCCTCCATCCGGAGGGACACCCGGCAGAAGGGCAAGTTCCCGGTCATCCGATCGCGCGGGTCGCACGCGAACGGAGGACGGGACTCTCCGATACGAGCACATACGCTCAAGAGTACGAGAGTACTCACCAAGAGAACATGTGAAAGATAGGTTTGCATGTTGTGTGACTATGGTTTTGTTAAGTGTGTTGTGTTTGTGTGGTGAGAGTGAAGATGTATATATAGGGGTTGATATGATAATATATATATATATATATATATAGATGGAGGTTGCGTTTCAATGGTGATGATGATGTGGAATAACAAGTTAGGCTTCATGATTGAATTTCCACGTCGTTCTTAAAACGATGTTGCAGCGTAGAAGAGAGTGAGTGATCATGAGTGAGTACAACACGCATATATTATATGAATATATTATTATATATATAGGATGATATAGTCCTAATTTAAGTTATTTTGGTCACGGACCAAAGAATCTAAACATGGGTTAAATTTAAGTGTCATTTTATACAAATACAACCGTGGTTGAGGTAAGAAAAAAAAAATGTCCAAGTTCATGTGGTGTGTGTGTGTATATATATATATATAGAATCAACTAAATACATCATCACAAATTGAATCACACTAATTTGGCAAACTAATACAATATAGTAATATTACAATATAGTAATTAACTTAAAAAATTAGGGAAAAAAAAAATGTAACGAGAATAAAACATCATCACAAGTTCAATCACATTAATTTTTCGACAATGATGTTTTGTTAGTTTATAACTAATTGACAACTATTTTTATTTTTTAGGCCTAAAAAATATATATATATAGTTATGCTAAAACATTGTTTCACTGATTTTTTTTTGTTTTTTTTAGCATAAATGGTCAATTTTTAGAAATGGAATACTGCCACAGCCATTATAATTAAAACAACTTCCAGTGACAATGATATATATTTGTTTATTTATGCAAGAAAATAAATAAAAACACTTCTTTATTAATTGATGTATCCCTTATTAATTTAAACAAAAACGACTTATCTTTATTTATCGTTGATGAAGAGTTCTTATAACGATTGAAGTTGCACAAAAAACACCGATCATCAAATGTAACATTAGTTTCTTAATATTAAAAACGTTGGATTTCCGAATAGTGACTGTATATTATTATTATTTATTATTCTGGAAAGAATTAGGTACATGAGCAAAGAGGGGCATGCCTGTCAATGTACATGAGAAAAGAGAAAGAAAGGCTGCTAAGGAAAGGTCTAACTGGAAACACGTGTGTGTGTGTGTGTGTGACAGAACCCCACATGCAACTAATAGCAACAAGTTCAAGTTTGTTTGTTTTCACCTTCTATGTCCAATAAAAATACTGAAAATTCAGTGTTGGCTTAAAATCTTCAAGCTCGTGATATATATACCTTTCTCGTGATCACATTTTCACGACAATGGTAAAACGTGAACCATTAATTTGTCCTGTTACTACTGCACATAGTATTCATATGTCTTGTAATCTGTACTCTATCTATATATATATATATATATATATATATATAATGATATTTGGAGCTACTTTTCAATTAATATGTATAATCGCATGTTTTTTTATTCCTATGATGTAGTGAATAAATTCAATTGTGAGTCTCTACTTTAGAAGGGTAAAAATCTTCCGACCATTCACATCTATTTGAAAAATTGATTTATTTTATATATATTTTACTTTATTTTTTATTTTTGAATGAAGTGAATTTTTTATTAAAATATTGAACAATATAGTACATGTAAATCCTTAATTTCTAAAGGGAAAAGGTAGGTAAATTTATGCATTTGATGTTTGTTTTATCTTAGCTAGGCAAATCATGCATGGGCTAAGAAATGAGAATATATTGAAAATGTTAGTTGACAGGACAGAATTATACTAATATCTGCTAAATATGAAAATATATATATATATACATTTGTCGATGTGTGGGGATGAGAATATTTGATTGCGTGGGAGAGTGGGGCTTAAGAATAATTCAATATGTCTAATAAATATTCTTTTCTTCCAACTAATAATTTTGGATATCAAAACAAGGCTACCTTCCAGAGAAGAAGAGGGTAATCATCATAAATGTCATGAACCATAGTGCACTTTATTATTAATTAAGGATGCATGCCTAGTTTGAAACTAAGTCACATAAAACGGGAGTCGTAGCGAATTCGAAAGTGGGAGCGTTAGAGTGATAAAATTATATCATAAATAGTGAGAATTTGAGCGAGAGCGCAGATGAAGCGTGATAACAGGAGCGCGTTCGAAACGTGAGAGCGATACTTGTTAAAAAGGATTGTACGAGTTAGATTAGAACTGACTTACTTTAAAATCACTTGTAACAAGCCAGACGCTTGTCATCCACCTTTAAAATTTTAAGTTGTTAAATGGTAATGTCTATTTGCGACTCCAAGTGTAAGACAAATCAAATACCTTGTTGAGTTTATCAGTATTCGAACGTGACTTAGTCTTGACCAATTTGAAAGATCATTGGATGTAGTTGAAATAACAGAATTTGAGGTTGTTCCACTAGTGATTTTAGGAGGATTTCAATTTCTGTATTTATTTCTCAATTTGTTGTTGTGCAAGTATGCAAGACGAAGTTGCACATGAGAGAAGTCGTTAGAGCTTCACCCATCACCAAAAGCACTTTGAGACAAGGGATGGTTTAACAAAACAAAAAGGGTCGACAATGATGAAAAGCATGAATATAGGCTGGTGTCCAATAAAAGATCTAATTGAGCATTTTGAATTAGTTAAAATTTCGTTGTCGCTGCTGGTGCATTTGGCATGTTGCATCATCCTCCCCCAACTACCCGCCATAAAACTTCTTAACAATCTTAACTTTTACAAAAGAGCCATGGAAACTTGGCATGGGCACTAAATTTCAAAAGTAATCCTACTAAGTAATTTATAATTAGCAAGTTAAATATGAAGAAGATTTAATTTGTGATCCTTTCATGACTTAAGAAGGGCAAACACTTCAACGTTGATGTCTTCTTCGTGTCCAGTATCAATACTTTGTGGACACCCTTAGACACATATTTGACACTTCATGTCCGTACTCATAATTTAAATTTAACTTTTATTATTTGGGACACTTGACCAATACATTTTGAACATTTATCCGGCACATTTTGGACACATGGTCAACACATAGCACACTCTTCCTTTTATATAAAGCAAACATGTTACAGTCTTAAAAACAACATTATAAACATATGATTTACCGAAAAAAACATTATAAACATACATCAAAGTGTCCAACCTCTTTTTTCTTTTTCCAAATGATGACATTCAACACATGTTAGCGTATGTAATGAACAAAAATAAAATTATAATTACAAAATAGGTTAGGAATCATATTTGAAATAATAAATTCTTTTTTTTATATTCACTTAGCTTCTTCAACATCTAACTTATCTAAATTTAGTATAAAAATTATAAATTAATTCAAGTTTTATAATTGTGCTACTCATGTATGTATGTATGAATAGTTATATTTATATTAGTCTTGTCCACGCTATGTCCGTATCCTATTTTTTTAGAAATTGAGATGGTGTTGTATTTGTTTCATATAGTGTCCCCTGTCGATGCTTCTTTGTTCATGACCAATAAAGAAATTGTAATACCCTCCAATTTCGGAACGCAGATTGATCAAGTCCTCGCCCAAGAACTGGGGGATATAAAAACAATTAGTAATAAATAAATACAGAATAAAAATAAATTAATAACGCTAAAAGGAAAACTAAATAATAAATAATTATCTTCTGATACCAATACTACAAATAAATCCAATAAACCACAAACCTCCAAAGTACAACTCAGGAATCCGTATATTAAGGACCCTTAATAAAAATCCCATAACTGAAACAACGTCTACTGAAATAATAATTAACTACTAAGTCTGATAAATAAATAAAATATGAGATAACGTCCTACATCGATGATACAGAAGAGTAAAGATGAACGATCTCTGATCTACACGAACAACTCTAAGACTGATACTACCGAGTACCTAAAAAATAAATAGTGGGTCAAACTCACAAACAAGTTTTCTCTACTATAACCCGACCAGAGAATCGACAATTAATACATCCTTAACTAAACTTATGCAATATCTACATAGTCGATACATACATATATACACACTAAGACTCTTGCTGAACAACATGACAGTCTCAACCAGATAGTGGGTATCTCATGGAAAATCGCACACAAGGTGGCCGGTCCAAAGTCCCCTTCTACTAGGGTATACACATCTCCTATATCCAGCTACCCATCTAAACCAACAAAATACGCCTCAGTCTTAACCACTGATTCCGAGACCTTAAGCTCGTATCATGGCTCATATATATATATATATATATATATATATATATATATATATATATATATATAATACATCGTCAATAAACAGAACCATATCTAACAATGGTATAAGTAGAGTTTCGTGACTTATTAGCCAGCCCACCTACACATTAATCCAACAAAATCATATCTAACAATGGTGTAAAATATCAAAGAGCCTAACTTATTAGCTATCCCAATGATCTCATCACATACAGGGATAAATCTCATCGTACCTACATCTAATAATGGCACAACAACCACAAACAATAATAATTTGAATCTAGGATCATATACATGTGGTAAAAGAATGATAAAAATCATAATACTATTTAATCATATTTAATAATGGTAAAACATATAATTGCAACCATACATCATGCTTGTAAATCATAAGTATATCAACAACAATGATTATAATCATGAATAAGATTAATTCATTGAATTACACAATTTAAATGCTATAAAGATTAATGATAACACATTAGTTAATTTAATATTTCCCATCTTATAACAAATCACGAGAGTATAATACAATTTATATATTTTAAAACAATGTCACTGTTCCTAACAATTATAAACATGTTTGGGATCAATTATACTCAAATCAGAGTCATTCGGAACAATTTTGAAGCAAACAGGTTCCCAAAGCTCGAGTACAACCTCCTTGTGCTCGAGCATAACCCCTGGTGCTTGAGCACTAGGTGTCGGAATAGTGTTGTGCTTAAGCATAACCTTTTGTGCTCGAGCACAAAGTCGCGGCAACAGATCGTAAGGTCTATTTTAGGCCTATAAATCAATTATTTAGGTCCTAAAAACGTGGTTTCTAAGTTCCATATGATTACCAACGAATTATATGATGAAAATG